ACTGCCAACGACCTTCGGGCGAAGTTTTAGATCACTAGAAGGTCGCCTAATTTAAAACCGCCAGAGGATCCAGCGTCTTTGTCGTCTGAAAATCTGCCCCGTTATACCTCGCCGGGCTAGCTAGTTTCCTGCAGCGAGGCGCCGGCTTTAGGAGATTTGTTCCGAAATGCATATGGTACACCGTCTGAACAGAAGTATCCTATCTGGAAAGTCTTGGGAATGGGAAACTTCCCCATGGCGAAACGGCAACGCTGGACAGATAATGACTTTTGCTTTCAATTGTACGAGCTAGCTTGTACAAGTTGTAGGGAAAAGTTTTATGTTTCTTTATTTACTACTTCTCGTTTAACTTTGAATTTACGTTTTAAGAGGTATAAAGGAGGCCACTAAAGCGATCACTTAATAGGGACGTTAGACGATATAAATTTTTATTTTGACCATTTACTGACGTCACGTATCCGTTAAGTCTCGTGTGAATAAGGCCACGTGTCTGTAACCTTAACTCTCGCGAGTTTACGTTCGGGAGTGATTGGTCATTAATTATCCTAGTGAAAGGGAGGGCCATGGAAGAAAATTGGCTAAGAGGGGAGCGGCCCCACTCAGGATACCACGACGTTCCGCAAGACAGCGCAAAGGATCAATCATGGATATGGACATCCTAGCAAGATTATATCTAACATACAATTTTTGAGATATTAAAAAAAAATGTTGCTCTTGGTTGCTATCATACAGAAAATCTAGACAATGAAAGTTGCATATTCATATACAAGTATATTTCTTCCCACGTCAACAATAAAAAACAAAACATTTACACCTGATGTAATCATGTGTTCCATGAACTCTATTCTGCCATAGATTAGATGCCTAAACGTAGAGTTTAAAAAGTATCAAACAAGCAAAAGCGAAACCAAAATTAGGGATAGATAAAATTTCCGATGTTTCCGATCTAAAATCATACATAATGGTGCCATATTTTTTACTCAATTAGAATGATGGAATCGTTAGGCATGTTTTACTGTACGTTTAAACGTTGCCATTCCTCTTTAATGTACAGTAAGTTGAATAAACCCATGGTACAAAATTTAATGCGATTTAGCTAAAGAAAAATGGCTGCTTGTTTTGTATCGCTAGCTATTTATCGGTGGTACAAAAAGTACTCCTGTTTTAAACGCTTTAATTATAACAAAGGTTGACAAAAATGTGCCAAGGAATGACAGTAAATGTCAATATCAGACAGTTTTCCCCATCCAGAATATTTATTTTGTCTTGGATTGAATGCCTTTAATTTGATTTGATTAGGCTTGGCCAATTGGGTCAACTCAGTATCATGTCTATCCAATCAGCATGTGCCAAGCGTAATCAAACGGCACTTTTTTTATATTTACAAATTAGCAGACGTGTAAGACTGTACGTATCTAATCATGAAGAGGTTTGTTTACGTCGCCCCCGGTTTTGAAGACCCAAATGAAGCGTGATGTTGAAGTACCCTCTTAGTAAAAATCATGTGTCAAGCGTGATCAAACGGCACTTTTTTATATTTAAAAATTAGTAGAAGTGTACGTACCTAATCATGAAGAGGTTTGTTTACGTCGCCCCCGGTTTTGAAGACCCAAATGAAGCGTGATGTTGAAGTACCCTCTTAGTAAAAATCATGTGTCAAGCGTAATCAAACGGTACTTTTTATATTTAAAAATTAGTAGAAGTGTACATACCTAATCATGAAGAGGTTTGTTTACGTCGCTCCCGGTTTTGAAGACCCAACACCAAATGACGCGCGATGTTGAAGTACCCTCTTAATGCGTGGACGTCTTCCTTAACGTCAACAGCGTTATCTTTCACGTTCGAGCGTACACCCTACCTGACAGCACGTACCAGCACGTACCATGCTACTCTAGCTCTGCGCAAACTCACTGCAGATGAGAGGTAGACCCATTAGTTTAGGAGGAGGGCTAAACGGCCACTTTGGCATGCTGAAGGTTGAAATCTCCCACGGGAAAAAAAAGAAGTACCTATTGAGTGAAAAATTGGAGATTCAACCCTCTCGATAACGTGCATGCACTGGTGAAAACTGCACCCCATTATTCCTTGTCTATTTGACGAGGACGAAGGAGCCATTAAAACGTGTAGAAAATGTGGTGTGGGTGGGGCAAGATCCTTTCTGAGCCTACTGATTTAGTGGGCGGAAAATGGCCATTTCGAAACGCCCGGAGGGCTAAAAAGCCCTGGCGACTGACGGTCTCTTACGAGACGATTTTCCCAGACACACCGTATACATATTATCGTCGCAGCACACAGGCCAAGTTGTAAAAAAACGTGAAGACTCTAAAGTGGACAGGCCATAACAGTTTACAACGGTCTATTATGACTGCGTGTGTAACAGGGGATCAAGATGAATAGGTTTCAGTTCAAAAGTTCAGAACGTTCGCCCAATTTCCCGGGATTGAATAATTTTCACATAAATTCGCCTGGCACGTTGTAAAGAATTGTCTGATGCTACTCATTGCCGATGTGCGTAGCATTGGTTCCCATACACAGGACTCGAAATACAAGCTAGTATGCAGATTAATGTAGGAAAAATTGGAGCTGTGCAGGTATTTCTGATGTCTACCTCCATGTACTGGGTATATGCAGGTTAGTGCAGGTAAATTGGAGCTGTGCAGGTGTTTCTGATGTCTACCTGCACCAAACCTGCACTTGTCCATGTACTGGGTATATGCAGGTTAGTGCAGGTAAAATTGGGGCTGTGCAGGTATTTCTGATGTCTACCTGCACCTAACCTGCACTGGTCCGTGTACGAAGGTATTTCTGATGCTTATGTCAGCTGGTAGTGTGTTGTAGTTGGTTGTGCTCTGAATTCGAATGGGGTGGTCGACTGTGGTCGTACAAAAATGAAATCCCCAACATCCAATATTTAATGATGCCTGCACTACGTTATACTGTAGGTGTGCAGAAAAAAAGGTTTTCGAGCCGTGTTTGTGCCATGTTTGATGATTTGAAGGGCAGGGACGCCTTACGTAATCCATAACACTGTGCCTTATCTGTAGTTACACGATGTGATTGGGTGACGCATGTGATGAGATTAGGTGGATTTACTGTCTGTGAGTTAAGCCGGCGTCACACAGTTGACGAGATTCAGCCGTAATTGTTGATCGAAAGAGGGCAGCTCAATTTTCAAAGGCATCCAATACAATTTCAAGGCTGCCAAACAATTATTTTCATGTGGAAATCTGTCTGATATTGACATATTTGCTGGCAATTCTTAGCACTTTTTCATTTTGTTTCAATTTGAAATAGCCCGAAAACAAGCTACGAGAGCCATCTCTTTGGTTTTGGTTACCACCCATAAATACATAGAACCAGTTTACGATAGAAAACAAGTAACCGCTATCCGTCAGTCACATCACAGTTTTGCCTAACAGATTGAGTATGCTATGGGATGGGGTTGATTGAACTACATTATTAGAATTAAGAGGAAATTAGAAATACAGTTTTACAGCCCTGAAATTGCAATGGGCCTTTAATTAAAATTGACAGATAGACCTAGAAGGCCAATATGAGCATCTCATGGTTAAAGGCATCCAATGCAATTTCTTCATGGCAATAGGGAAACATATTCTGCCTGTGATATTTACATTTACTGCCAATTCTGAGTACATTTTCGTCATCATCTCGTAATAATTGAAGCGTTTGAAATAACCCCAAAGACAAGCCACATAAGGACTCCCTTCATTTTTGGTACCACCAATAATACGACAGAAGCAGCGAAAGCTAAGAAAACAGGCAACAGTTTTACGCTAGCGACATCGCATTTTTGCCTCCCAAAAATATATCAGTATGCCATAGCTATGGGATAGTATTGATTCAACTTACTACATTGAAACAAAATCGCAAAAAGAAAAATTGACTTTGAAAATGCAGTTATACTTTCTGAAATCACTATGGGTGCCTTAAACAAACGGCTCAAACAAACAAGCAAACAAACAAACAAGTAACAAATAGTGCTTACCGTCGTCTGATATCCTCTCTTCCTGTCTTCTGTTTCTCTCTTGATGTCTCGTACCGCGCCGCTGACACCTGTAGCGTGGTATGAGCGGCAGAGCTCGCTCAGGTTCGGTAGATATGCCTCCAAGGTGCGTTTCGTGTAACGACCGCTAATTTACAAGTGTCTAGCACCGGAAATTAGGCTCAAGTTGTCCAGACGTCACTAGTAGCAACTGACGTCACTGAAAACGCCTGAACTTGACGTTGTCTCGATGGGAGCAAACAGCCAGCGAGAAATCCGCCAAGCCACTTAACGACCACTTTCATGGTTGCCAAATCCGTCTGAGACAAGTAAAGTTCAGAAGTGCCCCGGGATTTTGAAATAGGGGCCATTAACGGTCTACCTGTCAGCGTGCATGCTTAGTTACATGTGTGTAAAAACATGGGTGGATGTGATGAATGGAAATCTGCAGTCATCATGCTGAGTATGAGTCACTGTGTCATTTTCGAGACTTACGGTTTATCCGATGATGCATGTAATAAGAAAGTCAACGTCAAAGAGCTTTATTAGCATGTGAAAGACAATTAAAAGTCTGAATTATAGCTTTACGCATTACATACATTAAAAAAATACATTTAAACAAATCGCGACTATAAAATCTCAGAAAGCAGCTATATATTAGAATTCAAAGCGTTACCTATAAAGCATATGTAGTACAGTACTTAGTATACGTCATCAAAACACAAAGATCATAGGATTTACTTGTAATCAATACAGAGATATTCTACTAGCGCTACGTACTTGTTAACTATCATTTGTCTTAATTTACGTTGCTCCAGCGACATGAATGAAAGTTCATAAAGTGTCTGTTGCATTCCAAAACGTGGTCCATTCCAAATCATGATTTGGAATAACATGTTTTGGAATGCAACAGTGTCCCAAGGAAATCAAATATTTTGCCATCGCAGCCACAGCGCCCTCTATCGAAAACTAGGGGAACTGCAGTGTCATCATGACGTCACTTCACAAACCAAAATGGCGTCCGTTCAGAACAGGGGCCGGCGACACAAGTGGGCGATAGACTTCAGTCACAGGTACAGTTAGCCTTATTTGGTGAATTTGTCGAATGTAGGTACTTCTATAGGGTATCAGGAATAATGTGTGAGAGTTTGGGCGCTGGAATTATAGGCGTTGTTGTGGAATTCCTCATTTCGTGCGGTATCATGGGGGAGGGGGGGAAAAAAGGAGCCAGAATTTTGGCCATGATCAAATGGGCCAACTCTTCTGGCATAATCATCTGTCTATTTGGCCAATTTCTACTCTTTCCAGCCACTTCCCAACCGTGGTTGGTAGAGGCAGATGTGAGTGACAGATGTCAGGGGTTTTCTAAACCAGGGAATAAGGGCTATGCTCCCTCATGTAACCATCCAGCACCCCCATATCAATTTTCAGATTGAACCCTAAGTGGCTACATACACATAATTTTAAGTCTTTCAGTTCTCAAAATGATCTTTCCCAAAATGGTCTTTCTTTGGAAACAAAGCATCATAACAATGCATTCTAACATTACTGTGTTACTCTTGTAAAAAATTCCAAAATCCTGTGCCAACCCCCCACTCGATCACTTCACTCCCTCACCATGCTAGTGATCTGGTCTCTCATGCTAAATTTTTCTTGAAAAAAAACTGACATATCCTGCCTTACATGTACAGGAGAGGTGATCGTCAGGTCCAGCCAGTGTCAGACCTACCGTCCCCCGTCGGGTACACGGACAAAACTGTGTCTGACGTGTCAGCCAGGGACAAGGACTCCAGTCTGGTCGCCAAGGTGGGAATATCAGTAATATCAGTAATATATAACACTCACACACTCACTATCCAGGATTTGAATTTAATTCTGCAGCAGTCGGCTACATGTAGTAGTACTGGTCTTCACTCCACACCTCCATGCGGCCCGATTCAGCGGGTTTACACTGGCAAGGCTCTAAATATTGTCTATAAAGTATAATATTGATATATTATAGTGATAGATGGATTAAATACTAGAGTATGAACAGTCACATGTATCTGTAGAGAGCCTGGGATGTGGCCTTGGGTCTCTTGAAACAGTAACATGTTCTTGTATTTTCTCCACTGTTTCAGGGAACCCCTGAAGCAGTCTCATACATCTGTATTTTCTCCACAGAGAGCCTGGGATGTGGCCTTGGGTCCCCTGAAACAGTCACATGTATCTGCTGTATTTTTCCACAGAGAGCCTGGGATGTGGCCCTGGGTCCCCTGAAACAGCTGCCCATGAACCTGTTCATCATGTACATGTCCGGTAACTCCATCTCCATCTTCCCCATCATGATGGTCGGGATGATGTTCATACGACCCGTGCAGGCCTTCCTCGCTGTCAAGAGCAGTAAGTAAACTACAAAAGTAACAGTTACAAGAGAATTCTTTCAGCAGTCACAAGTTTTTGAAGGGTAAGAATACTAACCTCCAAATTTTCGATGACTATCTGTAGGCCACTCGCCTAGGAAAATTTGGAGGTCAGTACTCTTACCCTTCAAAATCTCTTCAACGATAGAAAGTAACATTTGCAAAGCAAATGCATACTGTATAGCTCGCATATGGGCTGCTCTGTTAATTCTTACTCAAACACAGTCACAATCCCTCCTACTATAAAATTGCAACACTATGTAACCAAAACCAGTTACCATTGTGAGAGACCATGTGGTTGACCAGGTCAGAGGTCACTGTTTGGAGAAGAGAAGAAACTGAGCAAAAACAAAATGTTTTCGTTCTGCGAAGGTAAACATAACAAACAAGCAATAGGGAGTAGAATTATAACAACTAGGAAGACAAGAACTATCCTCAACTGTAGGGGCCAAAATATGAGCATTTTGGAGTTGATTCAGAACCTCTACATTCTCTTCTTTTTTTCACAAATCAGGGGAAAAAATGAAAGGGGCAAATCTATGAACTAGTTAATTAGCTATAGTGTGGCCTAACAAAAAATATGCACAGATCCAGATCTACAGGATATGTGTCAGCCTTGTTAGCTTTCGTCCGCTACCCAAGGTTGGCGGGGAGCGGACCTTGGGTAGCGGACGAAAGCTAACAAGGCTGACACTCAGGCTAGGTACATGGGATACCAGAAAGTCTTCAAAATAACTACCTCACTAATGAGGCTCTGATTTCTTAGTTATTTTTGCCCCTTTGTGTGAAAATAAAATGAAGTGAAACGTCACTTATATATAAGTGCTCCTTTGACTTGAGCCCTGATTGGATTCTGAATGTAATCTGTGAAGATGAATAGAGACTACTCCTGCAGTGTAGTACTCACACCTGTGGCCACTTGATAGTGAAAAGGGAGCAGTCAACCTCATTCCAAGGACACTCAGCATTTTGTATATACAATTATGTCTTCTTGTAAGCTAGTAGTGCAATGCAGCGTTGTCATTCAGGGTTAGAAACACACAAAAACACATAAAATCACCACAAGTACATCTCGATAGTACTATGCATTCACTTTTGTGGTGGTTTTATTTTCACATTTTTTTCAGTGTCCTCTTAACACAAAATTATAGCATTGTAAAGGTGTGTTCTGGACTTCCAGTTGTACTATAGAATTGTTTTAACTGTGGACTTTTACCTTTAACACTGCCAAAACTTCCTCTTCTCTCCTAATGTGAAGTAAGACCACCACAAAAGTAATTGTATTCTACAGATTTGATTTGTTTCCATTCCTCCAGCGTTCAAGAACTTTGACGGCTCGCAGGCGTTGGCTCAGAAATGCGTGTACCTTGTGTCCAACCTGTTGGCGCTGGGTCTGGCCCTGTACAAGTGTCAGGCCATGGGACTGCTCCCCACACACTCCTCCGACTGGCTGGCCTTCATGGACCCACAGCAGGTGCTACTTTATTACCTCCATGAAAAATGGAGGTATTGTTTTTGGCGCGTCTGTGTGTGTGTGTGTGTGTGTGTGTGTTTCCGCAACTTTGTAGTCAGCATAACGTCATAACGCCTTTATGGGTTGTGATGATATTTGGTATGCTGATAAGTCTTAGAAAGACAAAGGTCAAGGTCAAATATGGGCCTCCTGGTGGATGACCTTGGTACTGCAGCAGAACTGCAGTTGAAATGAAGTATGACAAAGCAAGCCCATATTTCATGGAGGTATGAGATCTCGGAACTCTTGTTCTACTTTATTTTACTCTCTAAAGTACATGTATATTTTCTGTTCGAAACATTATGAATTCCCATGAATAGTTTCATCAGGTTGGTAAGTCACTGAATAAAAAGACTCTTTTTACACAACCAAGTATTTTATTCAGTCGATGCTTTAGTGACCATCTGTCACCTTCCTCAGTGCACAGTTCACTGTAACCGAACCATGTAGATATGTAAATAGTTTATGTTTGGGAACGCATCTACATGTATAGCAGCGACACCTGTTCTGTGTAATGTGAACCAGTCAGAATTGCCCTGAGGAAGGTGACAGACGGTTACTGAAATGTCAGCTGAACGAAACACTTGGTTGTATAAAAAGTCTCTTTATTCATTGTTTTCCGAAGTCACAATGTGTGTAGGGATAAATCCAAAAAAATCATACTTGCCCAATCCGGCTAGTCCAGGGACACATGCACTTGCTGGATCAGTACTTGTCTTGGGCAAGTGGTCTTGTTTTGATGCTTGAACTGATCATTTGGACTTTGTGAAAGATAACATGTAACATATGGAACTGTTTGGTGTTGTGTTTCCACTGTTATGAAATGTTGTTTTGTTTTATTTTGCAGAGAGTGGAGTATTCCATGGGAGGCATGGTGGTGACATAGAAGAAGAATTAGGAAAAGACAATTTCAAGAACATCAGAGCCTTTAAATTCTTTACCCATTGTATTGTAATTTACTAAACTACGAGGTCCTCACAATCACGATTCACACAGTTTTTGTACCATGGTATCATATACACTGTACATGTGGCACTGGTCTATGCCACCCCCCAATATTGGATGTATCATCTTTTATTTATTGAGATTTTTTTCCAATTTGTGGAAGGATTGACATAACAGGTGACTGTCACCTTATCAAGATGTCAACCCTGAGACCAGGGTCTTCTAGATACTCGAACCCAGAACCTTCAGATTCTAAGTCAACAACCCTAACCACAAGACCACTTTGTCACCATTGAATGTTGTTTGCGAAGTTTTCCACAATATCTTCTTTGATTGACAAGTCAGTAAAATCCAATAGTAACAATACTGTTCAAACATGCAAAGAAAGCTTTAAGAGAAAGTTTTAGTCAGGACAAAGGGCATTGCCTAAAACTGGTTCAATAAATGTATATATATATTGATATCAGGCAATACAGGGTTCTGCAATGTAATGTTTGCTTCCTACGTGTCTCAGTCTTTAGAATAATTCTATCTGAATACACATTTCTAATGCAAAGCCATATTTAAATCAAATTGTTATCCTATAAGTTGTCTCGCATGTAAGCATTGAAGAAGGTCCCACTAAATAGAGTGGTACATGTACATTAACATGAAAGTTTGTAAATTACATAATGAGAATCAAAATCTTATCCAACTCACAAAGAAAGTTTTTGACTGAATCACTCAGTCTTCATCAGCTTTCTGACCCAAGCATACCCTGGAATCCAAACTCGCTGTCCGGGCCGCAAAAGCCCTTCGCCCGCTGGTGTAAATTACCGCTACGGGGGAGTCTAGCCCGGGGGGAGTTTGGCTGGCCGGACATTCTAGGGCCAGCCAACTCCCATCGGGCTCAACTCCCCTGTAGCGGTAAATTAGGCAGGGCGGGCGAAGGGCTCTCGGCTGCCGAAGGAAAAAGGCTAACGGCCCGATACTAGTTTGGCATCCAGGGTAACCCAAGCACTGTGCATGTGTTGTATAGACACGAGATTTGTTTCCACAGTCGGAAATTCTGGTGAGTAAATTTCTTTGAGTTGGAGAACATTTAATTCTCATTAAGACACTGCACATGTCTACATTTACAAAGGAGGTTTAAAACTAAATGCGAAACAAATCTTGAAAGTTCATGTGTTTGTAGAAGTCATTAAATATGAAGGAAACACTGATGGCGTATGATGTAACTGCTGCAAATAAAGTCAAGGTCAAGTTGCCAGTACTACTTAGTATTACTTTTGGGGATTCAGAAAAATAGTATGCACAGGACCAGAACAGTCGCTTCTGCACTTGCATTCAGTATTTTCTGGAGTAAAGACTCCTTTCTAAATAAAACCTTGCTACGGTTACACCGTCCGGCGCGGGAAGATGGTGACACGGTGCTTTATTATGCTGCTCACCACCAGGCGTCCATCCGGTCCTAAGGCAATACCGTCCGGCCTCCTGATACGAGCCACGGTGCGGACGAACTCCCCACGGCTTGTGAACATTTTCACCTTATTCCCAGTCGCGACAACGATATTCCCTAAAGTATCCGTACAGATGCCATCGATATAACGATTACCAATACTAAACCTGAACAGCAAATACCCATCCCTATGGTACACTTGCACCCAGTTCTTCGGAACGATGTTGTTCTTCGGAACGATGATGTTTCCGTCATTGTCCGTTGTAATGTATCGTCCGAGTAACTCAGTAGATTTCAATCTAAGTATCAACGAGCCGTTTGAAGAGAAGGCATTTAAATGTTTAAAATGCGAAATCACAACGATTCTGTCATTGGGCACGTCCACAGCAATGCCTAAGTTATTGCTTTCGTGAGGATTATAAGATTGAGGTAAGTCGAATGTGGTTTCGGCAAACCTTCCCGACTGTACTTCACTATGTGAACAGTGCTAAATTTAGAAGAACCTACGACCAGCAAATGACCCTTTCTGTCAATGGCAACATCTTCGGGAAACATGGATTGTCCATTTGTACCGGGCACCACAGTCTTAAAGAGACGGAGAAAAACTCCATTCACGCTGAAGACCTGGACTCGTTTATTGCTTCTATCAGCCACATATATCTCATTGTCACTGGATACGGCCACTCCGTTTGGTTGCCTAAATCTCCCGGGGCTTGATCCCTTTCCGCCAAGGATGATCTTCTCTGATTTCAAAATCTCGGTGTGGCGCTCTGTAATCAGTGATTAGAGTGAATCAGGGAAACCCTGAAGAATTCACACACACACACACACACACACACACAAATAAACACACACACACACACACACACACACAAATAAACACACACACACACACACACACACATTAGACTTTTGGAATAGGCAAAGATGCAATACCTTTGTAGAAAGATGTTGTCGGCACTAGAACGTTGTGTTTTGTCGTTCTCACTTCCGATTCAGGTCTGGTCGTGTCAAAAGACATCGTTGACGTTAGCTGGATGGAGGACATCATTGATGGTGTCGTTATTAGGTTGGAGGACATCATTGATGGTGTCGTTATTAGGTTGGAGGACATCATTGATGGTGTCGTTATTAGCTTGGAGGACATCATTGATGGTGTCGTTATTAGCTTGGAGGACATCATTGATGGTGTCGTTATTAGCTTGGAGGACATCGTTGATGGTGTCGTTGGTAGGTTGGAGGACATCATTGATGGTGTTGATGCTAGGCTGGAGGACATTTTTGATGGTGTCGTTGGCATGGAAGTGGAAGCAGTGGATGGTGTTGGTGTAAGGTCAGAGCTTGTAATGTTTGATGACAGTGTGGTATGTTGTAAGATGTTGGAAATGGAAGTCGATTCATCATCTCTAATAGAGCGATTGAAGGTCCACACCTGTAACATAAGCGTAATGACAATTCAAAGTAATATACTGTTTCCACAATCTTTCAATTTCAATGAAGTGGGAAAATGATTAACACGCCATTTCTGTGTCCTCGACATACATTTCAATGTTCATTGTTAGCCAAATGCCACATTACATACAATAACTGTTTTCGCATAATCATGAATCTGCCTAGTGTAGTGACAGTAAGATGTTTGTTTTGAACCTGAGGCCTTTGATGCCAGATGGCGTAAAGAGTGCTATTCTTTTGTTTGGGCCGTCGTTTCCACCCATCTAACATCATTGTTTAGTCTGTACTTAAGTTAGATTTATTCTATCGTAACTCATTCTTCACAAACCTCTGAAATATATATATATATATATATATATATATATATATATATATATATATATATATATATATATATATATATATATATATATATATATATATATATATGCAAAACTCGCACGCTCGTATCAGCTTAGGATCAACATGGCCTTATCCAGAAGTGATTGACCAGGAGCCTTTACCCGATAGAATACAATATTTTCTATGACTTGACTAGCTACCAGAATCGATCCGGTCAGATTTAGCACAGTGGGAACGCCCCCATCCGGCTCGATTCGGCTAGGTTCTGCTCTTTGACGAGGTGGAATTGTATCCCGATCGAGCAGGAAAGAAAGGAAAAAGAACATAGAGCTTGCGACCAGACAAAGTACAAAATCTTGCCTTTTCAACATCCTGAACGTTGGCGCTGAAGTAGAGCCCAACAAAGGTTGCACAGAAGACTATTAACGCCATGAAAGCGGTTGTTATTAAAATAACCCCCAGCCGTCGACACGTGCACCACGATGGCAATGCTGAAAACATGTGGGAAAATGTTTAAAGCAAGAAAAACTGGTGTAGCTTTTCAGTTGTTGTTTTCACCCAGTTTTGCTCAGTGCACAAGTGCCATGGGGCATTTAAAACGTAAAAACAAATGATATCTCAGGACATAGGTCGTGATTTTTTTATCATCAGGAACTGCAGGGGCGTTTCTTTGAAAATTTTTGAAGAAGGATAACTCAAGAACCGGTTGACGGATTGTGTTTTCGGTACGTAGGTAGTTTGAGTGATACTTCACATAATTAAATGACAATTAGGCAATTTAATGTGCTTAACTAATAACGGAATTCGATAAATCTGCTGTGTTCCATAATAGGAAAATTTAAACTTGTGAGATATGTAATTGCGAGGAAGAATAACATTGGCAGATATTATGTAAATTGTAACCCAAATATGCATATATATAATTAATGCAAGCATTCTATCGCTACATACTGGTAAATGGCAGGAATATCATACTTGCGGTATTTGGAAATCAAATGAACATGAACATCATCAAAAACAACCTATACCAATCAGGATCTCATTTCCGTAATTTATTAGGAAATGGTAAATAGGACTGACTTTATGTGGAGAATATGAAAAACTGATATAATTCATGGAAATGATTATCGTATTTGGATAATCAATGAGACAATGAAAGGCTAACATTATCTGATTAGTGTATGAGATCAATAAACTCTAGCTGCAAACTGCTCAAAGATGTTGTAACAAATCCATACTTCAGCCGACCGGGTAAAGCCACAAACATTTCACAAACCCTAAAACAAGCTTAGGTAATCCGTAAATAATCCGTAAATAATTTCATCCGGTTGTTTTTAATTGGTAAACGAATAAATAGCAAAGTTCTTTGATCACAACCATTTATTTTTCACGAGCCGGCGTTTCGATGACCGTCTGTCATCTTCATCAGGGCAATTCTGACTGGTTTACTGTGCACTGACGCTGGATGCTACTTTGTTGCATAGTGCACTAAGGGTGTTACAATAGTTCACACTTAAGTAATAATGATAACGTAAAGAAAAATCTTACCGCAAGTTGTTTCTCGTGGGTGAATATTTGGTACGTATGTCGGATTTGGAATCAATGAGTTGTGGGTTCTCATCTGATTCGGAGGACGACAACTCGCCGAATGCCCGCTTGTTGGTATCGCACTGTTACTTTGAGGAACACCCGACCTGTTAGCTGTAGGTATGTTATCATCCCTACCATCAGCTACATGTACAGTACCGTGGTGTCGAGCTGTACAAGGCCGGATACTGAAGGAGTCATCATTACTATTAGCCAGTCCGGAGGCCGGTTCTGTGAGAACGTTTGACTCGTTTATCTGATTAGAGTTGGCGGTGCTTTGGGCAATGTCCTGACTCGTGTTCGGCACATACATCGGGCTCGGGTCCTGCGTGTCTTGTTGGTATAACATGTACATTGGATTAAGGCTTATGTCATGTTGCGTGTAGACAAGGTTCGGGTTTCGAGTGTCTTGCTCGCAACTCGGATTTTGATAAAGTCCATATGAAGGATGTCGGGTGTCACTGATGTTACTAGTGTTATCCACAAATACGGTTGAAGTGTGTACGCCTTTCTCGGGTACGTGGTCACTCCCTGCCAAGGTGACTGTGATACCACTGCTGTTGCTAAAAGCTGTTTTTGGTTTCGTCTCTTCCGAGCCAGTCTCCCAAACCTCCATGTCATCCGGATAAATTTCTACATCACAGTTCGGTTCGCCGTGATCTGGGTCGATGTTGTCTGCTTGTCCGTTTTCAGCCGCGGGATCGGATACCACAGTCAGGTCGTCATCATAGTCATGATCGTAGCCTTCCTCACAGCTATAGGCGATGCGGAGATGTCCAACTCCGTCAGCTTGTGTGACGTAAGCTTCCCGTGGGCCGACATCCAGACTGGCTGGCATCATACTTGCTTCGCAGAGATTTTCCATAGTGAACGGCGTAGGACGAGCTAGAGTAGTCTAGAGTTGAGTTTTTATTCCGTGAGAGTTCCACATACAGGACTTGACGATGGTTGTGGTTCTGATGTGGAGGTGCAGTTTACGCGGCTATATAGTAGTCTATACCTTGTAGACGGTCTGATGTATACGTAGTCCTCTGTTTGCTTTGTGTTTACCGACTAGGCGTCTTTTGCTTTCAAGAAGTTGTATGTTGTCAACATATACAGAGTCCGAGTATTGATAAAGATTAGGCTCAACGTGTCGGAGGAACCCCTACCTCAAATGTAACACTTTGATAAAAACAGTGGATATGGAGCCGAAAGGAAGTCTGTTTTCTTTGTAAACCAAAATGCAAGGCGAGCTTACCAGGCACACGTACAGCCAACACTGGAAATTGTCTGGGTGATTTTTTAAACATTTGCTCTTGACGTTGCATTTCTTCGATTTTGTGACATTGAGAAAAGTAACTGCATACATTGGCATTCTAAAATGAGGATCTTCAATCTATTTAGTTACTTTACCGTTAACGTTATCCAGTGCACTATTCAATTCTAAGTATATTGTGGGAGGATGAAATAGGTCTCAAGTGCAATTGATCATTTTAATCTTACATTGCACGGTATTTGTTTTACTGCTGGTGTCCACTTCTAAACACCAAACGAATAATCAATCGAAAATCGAAGAAGTAAATCGAACTCATTCCAACACATTTACACCAACGCCACGCGTTATAAACATTTAACGAAAATGTATTTCCTTTCTTATGTGTACTTATATTTCTTTACTTGTATATAAGCTTTACAGGTTGTAGAAAAGACCTTTGGTCAAAGTTGCTTCATTTTAACGTCGAAAACGTGCGTCGAAGCAGAATCGAGGATCAATTTGTGATCTTCTAAGGTTCTGATTAGTCTGCACGGAAGGCCTTGAGGACAAGGCCATAAGTAGGGGCGTGTGAGGTAACGGCAGAGTGCTCAACTCAGAACCAAGGGGTCCCGGGTTCGAGTCCTTGTGATTGTGTGCCGTCACCACGTCTTGTGAATACATGTTGGAAGAAATAAAAAGAGGCCGTTAGTAAGCAGGGACGCCGTATAGTAGCGATATGTCAGATTCTACAACCAGTGACCTCTCTATACATGATGTAAATATAACTAATAAATTGTTGGATGTACCGACTACTAAGTATATAATACAACTTAAAAACAACAACAACAAAACTTAAACAAAGTGTGCGTAATAGAATATCAACGTCTGCTTCTGCTGCCCATGGCAACAAAATGACGTTGCACCACCAAGGCCACACGTTATAAACATTTAGTATGCAGATACAAACAGCAACATAGACAATCTCCAGTTTAGGATCAGTGAGTGTGCCTTGCAGTGGGGGTTTACATCACAGACATGCAGGCGACCTTTTCGGCTCCATATCCACTGTTTACCTCAAAGTGTTAAAAGTATGGTGTACCCGACACGTATTGTTGTGCAAATAAAATCAAGGAAAGCACAGAAACTCCTGAGGAGAAGCCTACTGTAGTTAAATCCCAAGATTCTGCTAAGATATTTATCAGGGACAAACTAAGCCTAGTCCGCAAACACAAACCGAACGGAGGACTATCGCGTACGTCAGAGAGTCTTAAAGGTATAAAACTACACCTTTACATAAAAAAACAGGCACCATATCCTCATCATCTTTGTGCCACACGGCTACCAAAGAACTTACGTCACTCATTTGTACATGTTGAAAACAACTTATTGCAAGAGCAAAGGAGCCTAGTCGGCAAACACAAATCAAACGGAGGACTAGGTCTTAAGTATACATCAAACTAAGAGGTATAGACTACTACATAGCCCGGTAAACCGCACCTCCACATCAGAACCACAACCAGTCCTCATATCGTCAAGACCTGTGGAACCCACGGACGAAAAAACTTTAGTTAATTCTCTACTGTGGACTATCCTACGTCGTTCGATATGGCAGATCTCTCCGAAGCAAGTATGATGCCAGCCAGTCTGGATATCGGCTCACGGGAAGCTTACTTCACAGAAGCTGACGGAGTTGGACATCTCCGCATCACCTATCGCTGTGAGGAAGGCTGCGGTAATGACTTTGATGACTACCTGACTGTGGTATCAGATGCCGCGGCTGAGAACGGACAAACAGACAACATTGACCCC